AAGTGCGAACTGCAAGGCAGCAGAAAGTAATCCCTCGCCTCGGGGATGCGCCTGGTAGCATTCAGCTCTGCTTAACGCGAGGGAATCCAGGAGCAGACAACCACCTAATATTGATTGCCCGACAGACAATTGGGTTATAGGTAGGTAGGTGTTGGGTAACTTTCTTGTCATGGGACTCATGACTGAATGTATAATTGGATATACCTATTCATGAGTCGCATAACAGCAAAGTTACCCATCACCCACCTACTATCTAATTGTTTTCGGGCAGTAACTATTGAGTGATTGTTTGTTTCTATACTAGGTGCTGTGAGATTTTCTGTTTTTCGCAGCGGTTTCGTTAAAAAATCTGTTTGTCTATCATATGCGTTTTTGTGCACATGTCTCCTACTTGTGGGTGCTCGGGCCAGGCCAAGACATTTGCATTTAATATTATTTTTAGTCACACAAGTGTCTTCTCGGTCACTGTTTCCATTCAGTAATATTAAGAAGTATACTTCGTCCTTTTCCCATCTAGGTGGTTCCAGTTCCTGTAGTTCCTGTGGTTCCTGTTCCCGGGCCTTGTGCTGTGCCCATATCTATGCCGTATTTGGAACCAACTCAGCCCATGTTTACTCGACCAGCCTACCCCGGTATCCACATCAATCGTTTCGCATGGTCACCGCAATTACCGAATGTGATGGTTGAAAATCGATTCATGTCCGTCAAACATGCATCTCTTGTGCCTACCGAAATTGAAGCGCAGGTAAGCGTCAAGTTATCTGTTCTTCCTTTCGAATCTCATCGTATATCTTATAAAGGACAGGTTCGGAACAGTATTGCAACGAGAGACCGAGTTGATAGATGCAGTTGTGCATAGTTAAAAAGAACTAGTCGTGTATTGGAGTGTATAGAATGTAGTAGTGATCAAACGTTTCGTATGTCCCCTTACGTTTCTCAGTCCCTTTTAGTTTGCTATTTGCTGATGGTACACCTCCTAGTACCTTCTGCGGCTCATGTTTAATGAGTCAAACAATTCCGGCGCACCGGCGATTGGGGCTTTCCTGTTTGGTATTTCTGTCTACAACCAAGATCAAGAGATTTTTCACATCTCGCTGTGGCTAGTCCTGGGTTACTTCCGATGGCTTTAGGTTACTCTCATTTTCTCCGTGTTATTCCCGTGTTACTCATTCAATGAAGGCTGTACAGGTGTCACTTCGGTTTATTTCTGTCTTCACTTGGCACCGTTGTAACAGTTCCGTATCTGATGTCATATGATGGCGTATCGTTCCAGCAGATATCAGTTAGTGGAGCATTCGAACACCATTGAATGAATGGCTAGAGGGGTGGGAGAAATAACGCTGTTCATCAGGCCAGATGTGATAGATAGTTATACCATCGCTCGGAGCAGCACAGCCTATCCGGTTTAGCCTCATATGGTTTGCCACCCCGAGCCCCGTGGATAGCTTCTCAGTCATTGTTTCACAGTTCAGTGAATAAGATACTCCTGGTAAATGTCGCCTGCATGCACTTCGCTGATTCTCTCAGAAGCATCTCAACCACAAAAATTGCGTTTTGAACAGTGACGTTGATTTCTTGGATCTTTTCCTCCAATCTTCATCACCTTGTTGCCCCATCTCTCACCGAAACCCAACTTTTTTTCTTTTCATATGTTACACACTCACTTTCCTAACTACTACCTACACACGTTCTCGTCCAATTAGTTACCACTGCCAACATCCGCCCATCGCCTATTTAGTTTTTTTGATGGTATGCAGCCTTGCTTTCATTTAACGCTATGGTTTACCTTTCCCATTGAGGTTGCAAATAATAGGATTTTCGGCCGAAATGACAACGGCGGCTTCCCTCTTTTAACCACCTGTTTTGATTTTCCATTTCCATCATTCTTGATAATGATAACCGCAATGGACATCGATGCTGAGAGATTCCAGTATCTACAACAAGGATTGGGTGACACGTTCGGCGGAAACGATTTCAATTGAAAGCGAGGTGGTTTCTTCTCTGGTCAACAATCTTAGCCAACTGACTAGCCTGCAGCATTTTGTCATCATTGTCAGTTACCCAACTCGCATCTTCATCAACGTTTCGTACAAAATGGCAACAAGCATTCTAAATCGTTGAAAAAAGCGAAAGAACATATCAATCGCCGCAAAGCAGAACAACTGATCTTCTCTTCAACCGCAGGTAGAATATTTAGGTTCCTTGCCATGGCGCAACTTCTATTCCGTCAACTGTCCTCCCCGTAGCGTTCTCCTCTGGTTTCCGAATATCATAAGAAAAATGTTTGGCACTCAGTTTGTTTCCAACTCCATTTTTCCTTATTTTTTTACTCTGCCAACCCCACGATCGACGTTCCTCTTTCTTCATTACAACCTGGAAAATCAAACAACTTTTCATCTATTAACATTCACCGAAACATAACGACATCCCATTCTTGAAATATCCTCTCCAGAAGTAGTCCTATTTAGCGGTCAATTTTGTCTTCCTCTTCAGTCCGGTGTATTTCCGGAGCCTTGCGTAAATGCTTTAATTTTTTCCGTTTCCAAATGTGATGACTTTTTCGATTATCATCAACGCATTCCCTTCATTTTTGTCACTTCAAAAGTAATAGCAATAATTTTAACTGACTCGCGCGTGGAGACCTGAGGGGTCGAAAAAATGGCTTCATCGTGTCATTTCGCCGGCAGTTGGTTAACTCTGGTCTCTCACTATTCGGCAGCTTCACTCGTCAGGTACGAGGAATCCTATACGGCCTCGCTTGACACCTTGAAAGCATTTAAGCGAGTAGAGCATTAAGGAGTTCCATCGAGTTTTCCCCACATTCATTCCCTCCTTCCCCTCCCCCCAGACCGTTTTGCCATAGAAATCTTGCATTTTGAGTAATCGCACTGTCTCTGCCCAAGTTGTTGGTTCTCTGTTTCGACTTATTCCCTTGATTGTCGGCTCTCCCCCACCACTCAATTTTTATCAGCGATTTGATTTCGCTGACCTCTTCACCAAGATATGCATTCGCTGATTCTGCCATTCAGTCTCTTATCCGTCTTCCCACTGTACCCTCACAGCTTCAGTCATTTCCATCTTGGAACATGTCTCCTCCGGGTTTCAGCAACACTTTCGAGGATACGTCCAAAACTTTTCCATCCCCCATAATCATGAGCCTTTCTCCTCCAGCTTACTTTTCACTCCACCCCTCTCATTTCCGCAAACTTGTTCTCTATTGGGTATGT